CTCAGAAAATGTTGCTTATCCCTGGCTGGTGTAGCTCAGTGGATTGAGCACCAGTCTATGAACCAAAAGGTCACCGGTTCTATTCCTGGTCAGAGCACATGCCTGGGTTGTGGGGCTGGTCCCCAGTAGGGGCATGTGAGAGGCAACCACACGTTGATGTTTCTTTCCCTCTGTATAAAAGTAAATAAAATCTATTTTTTAAAGTTTTTTTTTTTTTTTTAAAGGAAAATGTTATTTACTACTTACATCCTCTGTGCTCGGTACTCTGTCCCATGAGGGCAAAGATTTAATCCTTACTCACCATGCTACTGTGGCAGGGGTGGGGGCAGAGAGGGCGGCCTCAGTTTCCCAGTTTGTCTGGCTCAGGCCCTAGAGACCAAAGGGGAGGCCAGTATCCCAAGGGGAAGGGCGGCCGCTGGCTCACGCCCACCGACCTGTGCCGGGCGTCTCAGCTGGTGCCACCAGCTCTCTGTACGAGCCCAGCGCAGCGTCTCGCTCAGGGAAGCCCTGCTTGTTCTTTCCCTGAAGGGGCAACTAAGAGAGGATTGGACGATTGGCTTCTGTGACAGCTGGCGAGGGAGCTGTCAGCAGAGGAGGGGGTACGGCCCCTCCAACCACGGCAGAGAGGCCGTAGTGCTCAGCGTCTCTTCGGACCCCAACCCCTGACCGTGGTCTAGCTAAGCCTTAAGTGGGGGCCCCGCAGCCTGCCCGCGCCATGGAGCACATCGAATCTTTAGAGACCCCCATGCCCCTCCCACCTTCACATCTCTCCAACCTCATTCCCGTTCTGTTGCCAGTGTGGTTCAGGATGCGGCGGAAAGCAGGGAGGCTTTTGGCCGCCTGCCAGGTCACTCCTAAGGTGGAGACCATGGGCAAGCCTCTTGTCCTTTCTGTGTTCCTGTCGTCTCCTGTGTAAAACGGGACTAGCAATTCCTATCTCTCTAGATCCTTGCGGGCAGTACAGGTGCTGAAGCCAAGGGGCCCCGCCAGGGAAGCCAGTGGACGCTACCTGGCTGTGGTGACGTGCACGTTTGTACAAATGGGGAAACAAGAGTCCGGCGCCGGTGCTGCACCGGCTGAAGGCCACCTGCAAATGCAGTCCGATCCCACGAGTCCCCGCCAACCTGTCCTAGGAAATTTCATCACTGCAAGGGAGCTTCTGCCTCTGGTTCGTTTCTTGTATTTTCGGTTTTCTCCCTTCGGCTCCCCGCGCTGGAGCCTTCTCTTAGCGGGGCACAGAGCCTGGCGCGGAGGAGCTGCTTGTCCACATTTGCTGACAATGGGCATGGAGGTGTGTCAGGGGCTGGCACGGAGAGGCTGGCAGCGTGGGGCTGGGGCAGAGAGCAGAGCACCGGGCGGGGGACAGGCTCAAGGCTGCTCCCTGCCTCCCCGCTCCGCCTTCGCCGGCCCTGGCTGTCTGAGAAATCTCATTTTGCTGGCAAGCTGATTCATGGGCCTGGTTCCCCGGTGCTCCCAGAACAGCTCTCTGTCAATAACTATTCTTTATAAGGTCCCTCGATTCATTTTCGGGGTTGAAGACAAATTTTTAAAGAGGAGTTCAGTGCCAGGGCCGTTCCAGAGGGGCTGTTAACTTAACGTCCAGCCTCTTTCCTCCACGCTTGCTCCCTCTTGAACTGCATGAGGGTCAGGACTTGCCGTTTCTAGCAATTGCCTCTGAGTTCTCTCATTTGGACAGGGAGTGAGGGATGGGAGGGAAGGGGACACAAATTACCGATGGCGCAGCGGGAAGGGCTCTGGCTCTGCCCCCACGTTGCCTTTGTAACTTCCGGCCCCTGCTCCCCACTCCGGGCCCCTAGCTCCCTGTTTGTAAAAGCGTGGAGCTGGCGGGTACCATTATGAGAGCATCCGCCATCTCCCCTGGAGTGGCCGGTCAGCGGGGTTCACCGGGAAGGAAGTCGCTGTCAAGCAGCAGCTCATGTCCCCTCCCCATCAACTCCATGGGGGACAGAGTGGTTGGCAAAGTCCGCAGCTGAAACCGCTGTATGTTCCCAGCTCTCCGTCCGCACCGCCCTGGCCCTGCAGCGTTTTCTCATGGGGCCCCTTGTCCCTTCAGCCCTTCCTGCCCCCAGTGAGAGGGAATGACCTAAACCCCAAGTCCGAGCCTGACTCCCAAATCCATGCTGCACGCCCCCGCCCCCCACCCCGGCCTCCACGGCTTTGCACAGATGTTGTGGTCCCTTGTCACCAGGGACCCCTATTCCAGGCCCCAGGCAAGCGCGTGCAGGGACAGGGCACCATGACCACGCACGAGGTGTCGGGTCTGCAGGCTCTGGGCCTTCTCACCCACCGCCCTCTCTTCCTGGAACGTCTCTGGCCCCCTCCTCAGCAAGTGCAGGTCGAAAAATGTCTCCTCCTTTCCTTTGTGCCCCGCCAGGTCAGGGCAAAGCTGTCCCCCACAGCATCTGTCCACCATCCCGGAAGGTCAGACATGTCCGTCTTCCCGGCAGAGCTGAAGCCCCCGGAGGACAAGCCCGCAGTTTTGCCTCCACACTCCCCCGGCAGGGCCTAGCACACAGTAGGCGTTTTCTGTGTTGAATAAACAAATGGAACCATGTTCCAACGCCAGCCCCCCTCCCATGCGCACACGCCCGAGCGAGCAGATTCATGCTTCCTTGACGCCCACCTGTGTCCTCGTCTCTGTCACTTGCGATTTTCTGTGCTGATCAGGTGGTACAATGGGAGGGTACAGAAAATCCCCAAATGTGGAATAAGAGAGAGCCGTTTATGGTTTTTGTTTGGACTTTAGTCAGCCCATATGGGTTGAACACTTGCTGATTCTAGGCACCGCGGGTCAAGGAAGAGGACTGAGGACCCCTGTAGGAGGTTACTGCCGGGCTTGTTTGAATAGCGGGTACCCGGTGTTCCAGGAATTGAGGACGGTGGTTCTGCCCCCGTGGCTCTGCCCTGGGCATGGCTCCCCTGTCCTCGCTCTGTGAGTGGCCGAGCTACCCCAGTTCTTCGCTGCCCGCACGTGCTGGGCAGAGCTGGCCACTCTAGTCTTCCTTTCAGGGCCGCACCGTGCCTGAACATTCAACCCGGACGCAGCAAACTCCATCGGTTGTCTACGCCAGGGGCTCTCTGTCTGCTGTTCTTGGGCACCGTGCAGAGGGCTTCATATACCTGAGAGCACCTACTGCGCCCAGTGCCCCCAGGGCGGCCACTGGCGACACGCAGGTGACTGCTGGGGCAGGTGCCAGGGCAGCCTGTCCCGCCTCTTCTCCGTCCTGCAGCAGATGCCGTTTGCTGTGGCTTGTCCTCTCCTCACGCCAAGATGGCTGCTGTGCACCCCTGTCCAGGGCGTTGGGGGGTGCCGGGCAGCCTTGGCCAGTCCCCCTACTCAGGTAAGGTGCTCCTGTGCCCGCAGGGGCCACTGCTTACACCTGGGAACAGGCTCCCAGGCTGGTCCAGGGCCCGTTGTGGGGGAGGAGCACACCCAACAGCCTTTGCTCTCTCCTGCCTGGCCCCTGCCATGGAGACCACCGGCCTTTCCCCCTCAAGGCGGATCCCCTGTGATCCTTGGAGGGAGGAGGCCCCCTGAGAGGAGGGCCGGAGGCCTGGAGGGAACAAGTGAGCCCGGCCAGCACCCACCCTCTCTCACCTCTCCCCTTATTTTTCTGTTCCCTCTCGCCCCGCGGCATTCACCCAGAGGCCCGGAAGCGGCCCCTCCCTCCCGCGCCAGTCGCGGCGGATGCCTAAGGAGGCGTCCCTTTGTGAGGGCACGTTTCTGGGTCAGCAAACCCCTCGTCCCCTGACGTGGGCCCCCCCGCGGCACCAGAGACCCGGGGCGCCTGGATGTCGGAGCAGGAAGAACAGGGCCACAGCTGGTCTCCCGCTCATGCCATTTCCTGTGCCCACAGTGTGCATGTGTGTACACGTGTGTGGGGGGGGGTGAGTGTGCATGCGTACACATAAAGAAGAGACATAGAGCCAGCCACCACGTGCTGCCTGTTCGCTGGGAGCTGCTGCCCCCACCTCCAATCTGGTCGCTTCCATTTATTTAAGAAAAACCCGACACAGTGGTGGGTGGAACCCGAGAGAAAGGTGGCTGCGGGGTGGGGTAGGGAGACGCCCGGCCCCTTCTGCCTTGCCCATCCCGAGGTCCTTCACAGCGTGCCCTGGCGCCAGCTCTCCCCTTCCTACCGGATCCCACTGTGTAGGGGGCCGGGGGGTCACCCCTGCAGAGAAGGGAAGAGCGGTCAGCAGAGCTGGAGAGGCTAAGGCGTGGTGTTGACCTTGCTGCGGGCGGGGGGAGGCATGCAGGCCTCCCTGGCCCGCCCAGACCATGGTGCTTTGGGCTGTGGCTTGGTGTCGGGGGACCAAGGACTCCTCCCCCTTTAGGCCCCTCCTATAGCCCTAGGGGCCAGAGGAGGGCATCCTGGGTTCTTGGGAAGGCGCCTGGCTTGGCCCCAGGTCCCTCCGGGGTCAGCTCCCAGGCCCTAGGAAGGGCCCGGGGGTACCAGGAAGCCAGACGATGCCACAGTGTCCCCCCACCTTGCAGACATTGTGTCCACAGCAAGATCCTTGGCAGGGCAGGCAGCTGTGGCCTCCCCACCCTGCAGGATAGAAATCCCTGAATAGTGGTTTGAGAAAAGTCTTTGTGCAGTTTGTGACACAAGACCCCACAGGGCCCCCCGCACAGAGGGAATGCAGGGGACGTGGGAGGCAGGGGCAGCGCACACTCGGGCCCACCCGGCCCCAAGCCTGGCCTCCGTGCCGCACGCGCGGGGCAGGCCTGTCTGAGAAGCGAGGAGGTTGGGAATGGGTGGGTGGCGGGCTGGGCTTGCTCCCTCCTGCGAGCCCCGAGGCCGAAGAGGGTGTCAATGTGAGGCCGTGGGGAGGACCAGACGAGGGAGGCGGCGGCCCTGTGAAGGCCAAAGCTGCAGGGGCAGGGCCTACAAAGTCCGTGTCGGCCACCCGCAGCAGTGTGAGCGGTCCCGCTGGGTCCCACGCAGACCCCAGACTGTGGGGGGCAGGAGCCTCTATGCAATCTCTTTGTTTCTGCGCATGTAATTGTGCAGGTTTGGGGGTACGGTGGGCCGCGTGGTGCCCCCCACATCCGGGCCGCCCCAACCCAGGTCCTCTTCCTCCTCCTCGTCCTCTTCGCCGGCGGGCACTGAGTCATAGGCCAGCTCCTCCGTGGGCAGCGTGGTGAAGGTGGTAAACTTGACCCGCTTGCGCTTGGAGGTGGGTGAGCTGGCGGGGTCCTCGGCCTGGTCTCGGGAGGAGCCGCCGGAGGAGCCGTCGCCACGCCCGTGTACCTGGCTCTGGACGCTGGTCTGCGAGCTGCCGCTGCTGTGGTGGTCACCGTGGCAGCAGGCGGGCACGGTCTCCAGCGGGTTGCCCGGGGGTGGCGACAGCTCGCCCTGCACCCGCAGCGGCTGCCCGTTGCCCAGGAACACCCAGTGGTGAGAGTGGTCCATGCTGGTCTGGCCCTCGGGCGGGATGCGCTTGTGCCGGTACCGCAGCACGAAGACGATGCAGTTGATGAGGAAGACGAGGATGGCGAGGCAGAAGACGCCCAGCAGTGCATACATGCCAATCTCCAGGTCCGTCAGCCCCCGTGGCATCTGCTGGAAGCCTGTGGGCAGTGGCAGGAAGTCTTCTGTGGGTGGCACTGCTGGGCTGGCGGTGACCAGCCCCGGGGCTGCCGGAGGGGACACCCTCGTGCCTGGCGGGCCAGCTCCCCGGGCCTCGTCCTCACCCCCGCCGGGCCCCGGCTGGCTGGGGCCTGGGTAGTCGTAGGTGGGGTCTTCCTCCTCCCGCCCAAAGTGCACCCGCAGGCTCACGGGGGTCGTAGCCAGAACGCTCTTGCGTTTGGTTTTCTGGCAGCTCTCAGCGATAGTGAGCTCGGCTCGGAGCAGCTCCCCTGCCCCCTCGGCCTCGGCCACCACCAGTGGGAAAGTCCGGTCCTGCGTCACCGTGGCCACCCGCTCGTCCAGACTGCTTACTAGCAGCCCATAGTCCCGGGGGCTGTATAGGGAGAGAGGGGCCGTGGTGCCGTCGCTGTACGAGAGCCAGAGACTCAGGAGGGCTTCCTGGAGGAGAAGAAGGGGAAAGGCATCAGGGAGCCAGTTCTGGCTGGCTTTCCTGTTGGGGGCTGCGCTCCATGAGGGCAGGGACCAAGGGGTCCTGGCTCCCCCCGGCCTTCCCAGCGCTGGAACTGTGCCTGGCAGGCAGCAGGTGCTCGGGGATGATTGCTGGGAGGCCTCTTCTGGAGGTTGTGAAGAGGGTGCGGGGTATGTTCTGGCCTCCTACTGCCTGGGGATTTTCTTTGCCCACTTCACCCTCTTCCCCTTGATGAGCAAAGGACAAGCTCTGCCTTGGGTCTAACTCAAGTCCCTGTTGCTGCAGGAGAAACTCCACATCTCCATGCCTGACCTTGGGATCATCCCCACGAGACCCTTGGAGATGGAGAATATACGCCCAACCCCAGTCTTCTCCTCCTGCCGATGAGGCAGGGCCCGGAGAGAAGGGACTGGCCCGGGGCCATGGAGCGAGTTGGGGGCGGGGGCTTCTGGCTCCTGCCTCCTGGCATGGTCCCCAACACCCACCTTCTCACTCCTTGCTCTCCTGCCGGCCACCTTTCCACCTTTGCCTGTAGCCAGTGCCCTGGCATGTCTAGGGGGAGGGGACTGCAGGAATGGGTGAGGGGAATTCCTGGGGGTAGAGGCAGTTGGGATGGGCCCTTGGGGAATCTGGGAGGGGCACCCTCAGCGGCAACACCTCAGGGTGACAGGGGCAGGAAGGGAGGCCTTGGCCAGACTCCCCGTGCAGATGGCCAGGGGACGGGGTGGAGCAGGCATGCGGGGCATGGAGCGGGGAGAGACCTTCCATCACCTAAAGCCCTAACGCGGGGCTCGCGGCGCAGAGGCAAGTCAGAGCCTGCGAGTCCTCCTTCCACACTCCGGGCCCCCAGGCCGGCGGGCTGGGTGTCCGGTTACCTGCTTGGGGAAGCTGAGGGTCTGCTGGGCGGCCGTGGTGGCCAGGATGGTGTGGCTGCTCCCGGGGCTGGGCCGCAGGGAGAGGGCGAGGCTGGCCACCACCTGGGCCTGCAGCTGTGTGATGCTGACCTTCTCCTCTGTCACCGTCAGCAGCGTCTCCCCAAGCACAGACTCCGTCAGTGGGGACACCACCTGGGGCAGAGAGGGGCAGGGGTGGGTGAAGGCCAGGGGAGCAGCAGCCCCAGGATCGCCGATCAGGGAGAAACCCAGAAGATTCCAGAAGAGAAGCCCAGGGGGCGGGGCAGGCTGAGGGGCTCTGCCTTAGCTCTGCGCCCAGGAACAAAGGTTCAGGGCCAAGCAAGGGTCAGGGGCTCGCAGGAGCACAGATGGCAGAGCCTGGTGGATGTTAAGGAAAACCACAGGCCTGCACAGTGATAAATAGCCATTGATATTCCAACCTCAATGTGAGGCAGACAGAAGGGAGTGGCGGGCACTGTGGGAAATGGGGGAACTCACGCTCGCGCAAAGCGGGCACAGTACTGACTCCAGCAGCTTATCGCCAGCTGGGAAGGCGGCCTAGTGTTGCCAGATTCATATTTTGATAAACCAGAAATCCAGTTTTCTAAAGCAAGGGGAAATTCCCAGTTTTACAATGTTGGGCCAGTTGTTTATATAAACAAGAATCCTGCAAGCAGACCCCAGTCCGTGGGTCGCTGCTGACCATCTGCTAGGTGGGGGATTTCCACTCAGGCACCCCGCTGCCGGGGGAAGGTCGGGGTTGAATTCCGAGATCCCGAACTCCCTTTCCTGGCCTCTGGGCTGCCTGAGCCCTCCCTCCTCACCCACGCCTGCTCGCAGGGGCCACACAGTGATGCAAAACTGAAAACGCTGGGGAGGCGTGGAGGGAGACCTTCCCCCAGGGTGAAGCTAGAGGGCCTTGACCTCTGCTGGGGGGGCTTCGGGCAGACGGGCAGGTGGAGAAGGCAGTGTGTTCTGGGGCCCAGCCGGGGCTGCTCCCAGAGGCGGAGGCCCTGGAAACCCTGTCCCGAGGGCGTCTGCATCCTCTGCCCGCAGGCGACCGCAGCTCCGCCTCTGCGCCTACCTTGAAGGGGGTGGTGCCCGGCTCCAGGCCGGCCAGCGTGCTGCCGTCCACCATGCGTGCCACGCGGGGGTCTCCCACCCGCATGAAGTCGCTGACCAGGTCGGTGACCTCCACCAGCCAGTCCGGGCCCAGCATGGTGACCACCTGGTCGGTGCCCTCCGACGACGTCGTGTGGAACTGGGTGAAGACCTGCAGAGTGGCGTGCTGGTACTGCAGGGTGCAGCCCCGGTTGGCGCTCTGCCGCCGCTCTTCCTCCTCCTCGTCCTCGTCCTCGCTCTCCCGGGCCGACCTGGGGTGGGGGGCACGGGGTCAGGGCTCCTCACCCTGGCAAGGACCTGCATGCGCCCCTCCCTCCCCCCCGGCCCTGCTGGTCCTTCTCCAGCCCCTGTGAGTGGAGGCTGTGCAAACGGCAAGCCTTTTCCCAGGCTCCCTCCTTCTGTTCCTGACAGGCGCAGAGCCAGGGTCCCAGGCGTCCCCTCCTAGAAAGGTGTCTTCTTGACCCTCCCAGGTCCCTCTCTGCTTCTGCTTGGCTGCCCTTTCCTGAGAAAGCCTGGTGTCAAGTCCGACCAAGTGCTGCCTCCTTTCAGCACTCAACACGCACCTGGCCCTGCTCTCAGCTCTAGCTGCAGTGAAGGTGATGCCTGCTGCAGAGCGCCAGCGAGTTGGGCTGGGCTGTGCCCTCCGCTGGGTGGCGAACAGCTCGTGAGGGACCAACCTGGATGTGCAGCCGAGAACCCCAAGCAAAGTGTTGAAGGGGCCTCTTGGGTTTCTCTTGCTGCTTATAGTTAAATGCAAAAGGGAGAGAGAAAAATTGGGGGAAGAACCGGCGAGCAAAAGGGAACTAGGACGCGATGATGTGGGGACTTCTCTGCCTCTTCAGATGGCCCAGAATGCTAAAACCAGGAGATGCACGGTGTGAGGGGCGCGGCTGCCGCTTTGCTTGCAGCGACAAGAGTCAGCCACCAGAATGTTCATTTACACAGACGGTCCACTTACCTGTGTTAACTAATTTAATCCTTGCAACAATCCTGTGAGGTGCTAACATGCCTATTTTACAGATGAGGAAACTGAGGCACGGAGAGGTTATGTGCATAGCCACTGCTGCCCAGTGAGTGAAGGGCGGGGGTGGGTTTTCAAACCCAGGCTGTGTGGCTTCAGAATTCACTACGTCCTCACTACTCTAAGCAGCATCAGTATCACTCAGGAGCTGGTTCAAAACATGGAATATGCATTTTGACAGGATTGGCAGGTGAGTTGCGAGCACATTCGTTTGAGAGGCTCTGGTCTCAACCAACCTTGTGTTTCAAAGGTTCTGCAGATGGAACTGAGTCCAACTCTCACGTGGCTTCCTGCTTCTCTCCCTAGCCCCGCCCCTCTTTCTCTTCCCTGGGGCTTTGTGTCACTAGGAGCAATGAGTAGGTGAGTGGGGTGTGTTACATTCAGACGTGCAAGCCCCCAAAGTTGGGCATTCAGGTGTGTGAGCCTGCCTCCCAGAGAGGGGGCCTAGTGTGAGTCCCTGTGTGCCTGGCTGATGTGCCTCCAGGTGCACTGGTGTGCCCAAACAACTCCTTTCCATTTATCCTTGAAGACTTAGCTCAAGAGTCACCTCTTCCAGGAAGTCTGCCTTGACTTCTCAGAGGAAGAGGTGGTTCTCTCCTTTGCGCCGCTCAGCTCCCTGCTCCCTGCATCCACCATGCTCTGTGACATATACACGATGGCTTCCCTGGTGGGCTGAGGAAGGCGCTGGCCACACTCACCCCATATCTCACACACCCGTCCATGCCTGGCACACGGTAGCTGCTCAGTAAGAGTTTGTTGATTGCATAACCAGCCTGCAGACTGTGTCCCTCTAGGCATTTATACACACACTCGCAGACGTGCCACCCGTGCGCGTCCCACACGTCAGCCGCGTGTGCAGCGGCTGTACCTCCGGTCGGGGAGGATAGGCACCCTCCAGCCCTTCACTTGGCTGAGGCGGGTGTCCGAGAGCTCGATGTGCAGAGGCAGCTTGGGGACCCAGACTGTCATTTCCAGGGGCGCATTGAGGACGTCGTAGCGGAAGGTGACTCTGGCGTTCATGGACCCGCGCGACTCCTTCCCGCTAACAAACACGTAGTCACAGCTGCTGGAGACCTGGGGAGGGGGAGGGAGGTTGGTGGGCATGTCTTGCCCTACAGGTCATCCTGTGGGACAGTGCAAGGAACTGCAGTCTGACAAGCAGGGACAGAAGGCTGTAGGACAAAGTGCCTGTCACTTGAGGCTGAAGGGGAGGGGTCAGGCAGGAGAAGGCCCCTAATGTAAGTCTCCTGGGAGGTGTCAGCTTCCGGTGTCCCCACCTCCCTGCGGTTCTTCCAGAGATCACCTCTTAGTGGCTACTGCAGGAAGTGTGTTCTCCCTGGCAAGGAGCCAACGTGCAAATGTTTTTACAAGGGGCTGCTTCTGAGAGGCCAGACCCCACCTTGAAGGAGCCCCCAGTCTGCGGGTCCTCAGAACCGGCTCCCCTCCGCTGCATGGCTACCTGGGCTCCGGAGCAGGTGTCTGGCAGGTGGAGTCCTCACTGTACCGACGGGCAGCCTGTCCTGAGCAGGACACGGGTGCTCAGCTGAGCACGGAGGGGGTCCGGGAGGTGGGGGTGACAGGCAGGCCCATGGCTCCAGCCAGGCCCCTCTGGCCCAGCAGCCCCAGGAAAACGGGCACTGGTTAATTTCAGGCGACCGGGCTGCTCTAGCCAGGGGTGGAAGGGAGGGAAGGGGAGAGGGAAAATCAGGACCAGACAGCTCTAAGCACAGATGGGTGGATTATTGTCACCAATGGCTGCGGCTTTGGCAAATGCATGTCCACCTGGATACCAAGTTGCCTCTTAGAGGTTCCCCAGATGGGCATATGCCCACTGAACACATCTGGGTGGATACCTGTGCCCACTCACAGCAGCGTTGCTGCCGGCGCTTCAGGGCAGACGCAGATGGGCGTATGTGTCAAATGAGCCCACGTGCACACCTGCAGCGAACGCTGTGTACAAGACATTTAGGTGCGCCTGCTGGTGCCTGCCTGTGGGCGTGCATCCTCGGGCTTGGAGGCAGCCGGTGGGCTGATAGGCTGATGACCCCGTGAAGGCTCTGGTTGGGGGTGGGGGTGGGGGGAGGGTGCTGGGGCAGGGGCCCCTATGTGGAGGGAAGCCCCTGAGCCGTCCCCCCCCACCCCCCGCCCTGGTAGCTCTCCTAACCAGCTCAGAGGGGTGGGCGGGAGTGGACCAGCAGTCCTGCCAGAACTTCCCACCTCGGCAGGCAGGGCGTTCCGTCGGAAGGCTGGCAAGTTCCATTTAGAATATTGGCAAACTCCATAAAGGACTGGAGTGTATTTCATTGAGAATGGAAAGAAATCCCATTTAGAATCTTCGCCAATTCCCTTTGGTGTCTAAGCCATTACGACTTTGTTCTGGTCGCTCTGGGGCTGGCGTGGGGTGCCTGGGCGGCAGAGAAAGGTGCTGGGCTCTTGGGAGCAGGCCGCGTTTCCCCCCCTCCCAGCTGCCAGCAGTGGAGGACCCCAGTGGCCTGGGCCGGGCTGCTTCTCCCAGGAGGTGACAGGGGCATGGGATCGAGCCACCTGCGCTGGCTCACTCGGAAGGCCTGCTCCCTGGATGGGCAGATGGCTGAGCTGAGCTTCAGACTGCCCGGATGTGGAGGGACCCAGGGCAGCATGTACAGAGAGAGCACGCTCTCCAGGTGAGCCCCGTGAGCCGGAGCGAGGACACGGGCACCGCCCTCCCCTCACTCCCTTTCAAGCGGAAGGATTGACAGAACAGGGGGCAGATTCCGGTGTCTGAGCATTTGATTCGGGCACCTGCTGGAGGCTGGCAGGGCAAGCAGCTCACCCGCCCCCGGGTCCCTGGGCTGAACACGCTCCTGCGTTACTGCCCGCTCTGCTGCCTTGGGCCGCCACCCAAAGCTGGGGAAGGGGCAATTCTGGGGACCTTCCTGGGGAGGTGGCAACTGGGCCATTTGAGTCAGATCGATGCCCTGTGTGCTGGGCGGTGGAGAACCCAGGGCCTGGCGAAGGTCCTTCCTTACATAACCTTCACCCCGGCCTAACTCCCATGCTTCTGGAAACTTCCTTTCTGTGCTGGATCTGCTCCACTTGGAGCCAGCTATGAGGTTCAGGGCACACCTCTGAGGGGCCCACGCTGTGCCCCATGTTGCCTTGCCCAGGGTCTGCCACCCAGCAGGGGCGCAATAATGCCATTCCAGATAGGACGGAGTTCAAGTTCTCAGTGCTGCCTTCTCCCTGTGGTCTGCCAAACAGCCTCTTCCACGTTCCTACAGGCAGCCTTCCAGGACTGGCACGGCAGGACCCAGGGCTTTGCCTCACCTGCCTCAGGCTGAGTGAGGGGTGCCCAGGGCTCTTCTCCACCCAGGCCCCCAATTTCCAGTCTTCATGCCTCCCAAGGAAGCCTGCATGAGACGTGAATTCCCCCCTGGCTTGGGGCTCCCCCCTCAAAGGTCTGAGGACCCCTTCCCAGGGACCCCACCTCCAGGAAGCTCACCTTGATGATGTCCTCATTGTCAGATTCACATTCTACCAGGGCAGAGACATCTAGGACGAGGCCGGTCACTTCGATGGCAATGACCTTGACAGGGATGGCCACTGTCCGGCCTGTCAGGATGGCCGTGTTGATGATCTCTGTGTCCTGTGGGGAAGAGAGAAGATTGGGGCCCGACGGAGCCTAGGTGCTTGCCTTCCAGGATCCCTGCTCTCCCAGGACCCGCCAGCCAAGCCCCAGCTCCTGAGTGCCCCCGCCCCTCAGAGGCGCACCCTTCCACACAGACACCCGCACGCGTGTGCCAAGAGGCGCTCCCCCCAGCCTCATGCACCTTCTCAGGTGCTCAGCTCGCTTAGACTTCTGCAGTAGCTTTCAGGGTCTACCTTGCCCAGCTTCCAGAAAACAACCCTCCCCCAGTCTCGTCCCATCTTCTCTCAACATCTCCCACGCTTCCCGGGACTCACAGAGGAAAGCCCGACATGGCCCCCTGGCCACTCAAGGCGCTCCTGGGCTGCTCCAGTTGGCCAGTCCAGCCTCACCGCCCCGGTGCGCTCTTCCTAAATCCATTGCTCCCTCGAATGAACTACTCACATGCCCATCACGGCAGCCTGGTCTGCAGAATCCCCTGCCTAAAGCACCCTCCTCATCTTCTCTGATTGTATGAGCCCTTCCCCCACGTGACCCTCAACTACTCGACACCCCTCCAGGAGACCCTCCCCTGAGCAGCCCCTCCATGGGTGACTTCTCTCACCTCGGCCCCCTCAGCATCTGCTGTGCTACCCCAGCAGCAGGCACCGCGCGCCGGCGGCCGGCCTCCTGCGAGCGCGCACACACCTTTACACGGGCACGTCTGGGTTCAGGCGGCAGTCATACACTCGGGCACTGCTCACACGCACGCATGCACTGATCTATACCCACACTCGGCTGTGCACATTCCCGTCACTCGTGCATCTACGACACACATGTGCATCGGCTGGCCCGGCCGCCCGCCCTGCTCACCATGGCCAGGGGCAGGATGGCTTGCACATCTCGCTGGATGACCGTCAGCTCAGTGACTGCCCTCTCTAGGTCAGGCAGAGCGCCGTGGCCCCGGTAGTCGATGTGCCACATGATCCTCCGCTTGACCGACTGGCTGGTGAAGTTCTCCATCTCAAAGTCCAGCTGCAGGATCTCCAGGGGCCCCTGGTCCTCCCTGCCGCGTGGGGGAAGGAAGAGCAGAGTCAGAAAGGAAGTGCTGGGAGCAGCTCGGGAGCTCTGAAACCCCATGGGGCCCCCAGCCCCCGTCAGCAGCCTGCCCGCTGGGGCCCTCTGAGCTTCCCCCAGCCACCTGCGGTGCCCCGTGTGGACGCAGACCCCCACACTAAGCCCCAGCCCTTCCACGGCCTGGCCTGCCCTCCGGGAGCTCCCCAACCCCTCCAGGTGCCAGCTCAGCTCACCATGGGGGCAGCGGTGTGCCCTGAGCCCAGGCCACGTCCACAGTGGCTGTTGAGTGCTTTGCCCCGGTCAGCAGCTCGGAGGTCACATGCCACTGGCCACTCCGTGACTTGGTGCCCAGAAGGGTCACACCCTTCTTGGCCTTCACCCTGGGACAAAGGGGGAGGACGAAGAGGGAGAGGGTCGGCGCAGGGGCCAGTGGCCGCCCCGCTGGTCACAACCCCCAGGCTGGGGCTGGCGGTAGGAGAAGCAGGTGAGTAAGTCTCCCTGGGTCCTCGACTCAAAGCCTGAGGCTAATCCGGGAAGTCTGATATCACGTGGCCACAGCCTCCGCCCCTCGGCGGGAGCGCAGTCACTTCCGCCAGACATTTACCTAACCTCTGCGTGCACAGCGTGGCGACAAGGGACTCACTGCTGCTGCACACATCCCGTTCCATGTACAGAAAGCCCCTCAGGGTTAGAACTCCTTGCTTACGTTTAGCGGAAATGTAACAACCATGGGTTTTCCTGGGGAAAGAGGGAACAGCTGTCCTCCATCCCAGCTGCAACAGTTCTTTAGAAAGCTGGGAAAGGGAGAAGGGTTCTCTAAATTTTCCTTTCTCTGGGCCCAAAATCTCCAGTTCCTCCAATCGCTGCTTTTTGCCATAGTTTCAAGTCACTCATATCCTGGTCACTCCCCTCTGGACACTGTGCGTATATGGTGTGGTGTCCTACACTAAATACAGCACTGCAGCTGTGTTCCTTAACACTGGCTAAAGCAGAGCTGGTTATCACCTCCCTAATTATACAGGTTCTTTCTCTACTAATGTAGCCCAAGATCTCTGATGACTGACTGAACTCATTCACATCCGGGTATCGAGCATTGGATCAGGTACGATCCTTGCCGGGAGTATTTGACCTTTAAGGCAGGACACTCAGAAAAGAGGGCAATGCTTAAAAAAGTTGGAGGCTAGCGGTGATGTTTCAGGTCCTATTGCATAGTGCTTGGATGGGAGGGGTGTTTTGGTGGGGTCTTCTTATGAATCACCCAGTGTGGCCCAAACCAGGGATTCCTACTGTGAGACACCATTATATTTTGTGGGGAGGTGATACAATTTAAGGCATCTCTCAACTTGTGAACTGTATCCTCCTCAGGGTGTAAAAAGAGCTGGGACTCCTGAAAGCTCTCCTTCCAGCTCTAGGATCGGGCAATGGCCCCAAACACGCGCATGCGCCTCGACAACTTTCGGCCCCCAGCAAGGAGCTGCTCTCCGATCTCCATTTCTCCTCTTTGGCCTCAGCCTCCTCATCTGTAAAATGGGAGGGTTGAACCAGCTCACGTCTCGGGGCCCTTCCAGCCCCAGTTTGACCCTTTTGGACACGCGTGCTTGTGAAAACTGGCCTTTTTCCTCTACCACATGTCATTTCTGTGGCACACAAAGGCTGGGCAGAGATGCCTGTTGCCATTAGACAGATGAGAACACTGAGGCTCGAATAAGGGACGTGTCTTCCTAAGGTCAGCCAAGCGATAAACGGAAATGCTGGGATAAGGATGCAGGACAGGCAGGCTAGGTGAGCCCCACAGAGGGTCGGGGATGCATTTGACCTTGGAAGGGAAGGCAGACCCTGACGCACAGCCCCTACCTGAGTGTGAAATGCTCCACGCTGGGGCCGGAGGGAGAGGAGGAGTTGGGGGCCAGGTAGAGGAGGATGCTGAGCACCTCCCCTGGCTTCAGGGGCCGGTCCGGCAGGCGGATCATCAGGTTGCTGTCCAGCCTGTGCTCCTGCAGGGTCCTCCTGGGGGGCGGGCGGAACAGGCTTATGCTCCCTATGCGCAGCAGGGGGTGCTGGGTAGGGCTCTCTGCCCGGGCCCCCACTCCGGCCCCGGGGCCACGCCGGGGGCCCCCGCAGCCCCCGGATGCATCCGGGGCGTGGAGAGTGTAGTACAGCTCGGCCTGCTGGCTCTCCCCTGCCAGCTCGGGCTCCAGCCCATCTGGAGACTTGCGCCGGGCGGTGGGCGGCGCTGCCGGGGCGGGGGGCCCAAACCAGGCCAGGGGCAGCTCAGCCCGCACGAGACAGGTGGCCAGGCCGCCACTGAGGCGGCAGGAGCTCTTGACCTCCCGGGAGTCTCGGAAGGCATGCAAGCGGACACAGGGCAGCCGCTCGGTGACGCCAAAGTCGTCCCAGTCCCGGCCGGCTACATAGAACAGCACCTGGGCCACAGGCTGTGAGGCGGGCACGCGGGCACGGACGATGAAAGCTCGCACCTTCCAGTTGACTGTCAGGCGCTCGGGGATGTCCAGGGTGCTGGACGGCTGCAGGAGCTCCCGGGCCACCACCTGGCTGGTGCTGAAGGGCCCCAGGGAGACGTTGAGGACGGGCAGCTCCTTGGTCTGGAACACCACGAAGGGCTCGGAGCGCTGCAGCGAGCCATTGGCGACTGCCGGCGGCGGGGGCCGCGCCTCCCGCAGGAAGAAGGCCAGCCGCGTGTGCGACAACCGGTAGCTGATGGGCAGCACCGGGCTGGCCTGCGGCCCCGGTGGGCTGGGACTGGCTGGGTGGGAGCGGCCGGAGGCTGGGGACAGACAGAATAAAGACCCCCCAGTGGTCAGGAGCGGCTGCGCAGGGACCCGGGGACACCCCGGCCTGCCACCCTCACACGGAACCACGCGCTCCACACTGCGCGGTGCCCAGCCTGGTTCCAGGCCCTGGGGCGGCCCAGCGCCAGGCTGCCTGGGCTCTGAGCCTGGCGCCACCTGTGCAGGTACGTTAGTTCCCTCACTGCTGCGTCATCTCTTTGTCTGCAGCACGGGGGCAGTTAATTCCAGCACGAAGCATTGTGAAGCTTTAAAGAGGTTTTATCCGCCTGCATCCTCATCTGTAAAATGAGTTTTGAATTTTCTTCTGCCTCAAGGCGCCACTGTGAGGACTTACCAAGGGCGCGTGCCGAAGGCTGCTCGCGGAGCGTGGTGTCGAGGAAGCACACACTCTTACCCTCACCTCCTCACGCAGGGCTCGGCAAGCATTAGCTTAGGTGATCCTCAGATCAATCCTTTGAGCAAATGTGATTACAATCTCCATGGATTGAACCAGTCTTTTGTTTTTTGTTTTTTTATCAATAACGTCTCTTTTTTGAGAACCTGTTTTTTACATCTTACCGATAAAGGTGCAAGACGCTTCAGTAACTCACTCCTAAAGGGGCCAGTGGCAGGATTTGAACTTGGGGCCCCTTGACCCTCTGACCCAAGCCCTTTTCCGGTCCAGTGGCCGCGGATGGTGCAGGGTTCCCAGGGATCCCATGTCTCCCCCCTGCTCCCTCGTCCTCCCACACACTCCGTGTACAGGGAATGTGATGCTCAGTCTCCCAAACCCAAATGCGAGCCTCGGGCTTGACCCCTTCGTCCTCTCAGCCCCCTCCCCCAGCCTTGCAGGATCCGGCCGCCTTCTAGCAAGTCCACCTTTGCCTGAGGCCCCTGTCCTCCATCCCCAGCCCTCCCCGGTCTGGCCTCACTCCTGTTGCTATGACAATGTAACCCCATCTGAGTCTCCCCTCCCCAGCACGTCCCCTCCTAGGCATCCCTCTGCTACAAAGCAGCCAGAGCGATTTGTTTCTCCTGGACAGAAATCCAACCTTGTTGGCCCCTCGCTGCCAGCCCAGCCCCTGTTGGACCCTGTCACAGGAAGGGCCAAGATCGGAGGCTCAAGGTTGGAGAAGCAGCCTGGGTCTCCCACGGACCCCTGAGCCACATTCCTCCCCTCTGAACCAGGGGGTGATGAGAATGCTGCCTCACAGGACGTGCGCGCCATGTGTTTTGTTTTTGAGAACTGAATAAGAAAGCGCTCTGCAAACCGCAACGCCATACAAATGTAAGTATCATGAAAGGGTCTCTCCCTTCTGCTTACCAAGTAAAATCCAGACTCTGAGTGTGGCATTCGGGACCTTCTAGAAAGCAGTTCCAGGCTCCCCGGCCCCCAGGAATCCTCTTCCCAAGCCCCCGCTGCCAGCGACCCTGGGCGGCTCCTGGCGGCAGCGCTCGCGGATGCTGCCTTACCTCCCCTCCTTTGTTCATGCTGTGCCCTCTGTCAAATGCTCTCCTCTCCTACCTGCACACATCCACACCTGAATCTTCCTCCAAATCGCCTCCTCCATGAAGCCCTCTGAGATGCAACCTCAATTCCTGGATTTTTTCCTCAGAGCTTCGCCCTCTCTGAGGACCCTCTCGTCCTCCTTTGCATGGGTGTTAGTTACCTACAAGGTCTTTCAAGGAACAAACCTTCAAAAAGTCATGATTGGTCTACACCGAGTGGTGTCTATGTTCTAAGGAGGACTCTCCTAATCAGCGCAACAGTGGATGCTTGCAGTTTATGCACGTTTTCCATTTTACCGCCGTCAACTAAACCTTGACAGGTCCACCAACATTCACAGCCAATTCCTCATAAATGCAATGAACTAAAAATTCCTCTTCTTGAGGTGCTGGTGTCTGCATCTTATTTTTTAAATCTGTGATTTAATTTCCTCATTAAAAATGGAGGTGGTTGGCTCGGGGCACGACCAAAGCCCCGGGGCCCGCTGTTCTGAGAGGACTGGCACCTCGTCTCGGTGGGCCTCCCGGGCCGCCCTGAGGACCGGCAGGGGGAGCTGCTGGCCTCTGGTCCTCTGGCTGGCTGCTGCTTTAACCACCAGACCGCTCCCTCTGTCCCTAGGACTCTGTTCCCAGGCCGCCCTTCCCCGCTAGACCCTCTGTGGCCCTGCATGGTACGCCACCACTGATGGTGGGCAGAGCTGGGCAGCTGAGCCCCAGACGAGGACAGGAAGATGTCTGGAGAGACAGGAGAGCTTTCCTGGCTGGTGCCCCGCAGTTACTTCTAGAGTCTCTGAGAAGGTACCCCTGCCCCCGGGATGAGGCTGGCCCCAAGGCACCAGTGTGGCCGTCCAGGGTACTGGCCCGAGCCGGGGAACAGCAGCCAACCGGCCGCTCTGGAAGCAGCAGGAAGCAGGAAAACAGACAGAAGCTCTGGGACTCAAGTTCAAGGCTCCTCCTTTGGCGAGCCACCGCTCCCACCTCTAAAACCGAGGTGGCGACGCGAGCCGCTCACAGGGACGTTGAGAGCAGCTGAAACACCAAGGACAGAGGAGGGACACTGCGAGATGGGGCGGGATGTCCAGGGCCCAGGTGGGGAGGGGCCGCCATGCTCGTCCTGCTGCAGGTGGAGAAGGGCAGCCGCGGTCCGAGAGCCGCAGGTGCTCGCCCCCCAGGCCAGGCGGGCAGGGTGGGGATGCGGACGCCAGGACCGCGCGCCTCACTCACCAGCCCCCGGAGCCCCCAGAGGCCGCAAAGTGGCACTTAGTCAGTCCCCTTTGACCCTCTGGCTGTCCCGACCTCGGGGATGGCCATCTGGACCCCTTGGGGACAGAGAGGGGGCAGGGGCCACCAGATGGGCAGCAGACTCAGCGGCGTGGAGGGAACGATTGAAGAAACGTGTCTGCACGCAGACCTCACTTCTGCCCATAGATTTTGGTTGAGCGAATGGACCCTCTGAATGAGCTCCCCAGCACCGGCAGGGGGCCATGGGCGGATGGGGGCCTCCTGCCCGAGGCACCCGAGAGGGGCCGCGATGGCCCCTGAGGGGAGGGGCTCCTGACCCTTCCCGGCAACCCTGAACCTAAGGCGACTGAGATTCTGGAAGAGGAAGCAACTTGTGGTAAGAAAACAGCTAGCTTTCGGGAAGCGGAGCCAGGCAGGACGCTATTGGGGTATCACAATTTCAGTATTTATGTCATTGAGACAGGGAGCCCTCCCTCCTGCCGTCACCGTGAGCCATTTATCCTCTGGGGCCTTGAGCCTCCTCTGTGGTGTGGTGGGGGCAGGGGGATGTCCCTGAGACCTGAGCATGCGTCTCTGCTCTTCCCCCGACTTACTCTGGAGCCGAAAAGAGGCTTGACCTCTCTGGGACTCAGTTTCCCCAGGGAGATGGGGGAAGCCTGGTAAGCATTCGGGTGTGGCGGGGGCCGGGGGAAGGAAGGTGGGTCCGGTGGAGCCAGCAACAGATCGTTCGGTCAAGTTTTCAGGCACGGGGAATGAACGTCCGAGTGCGCTGATGCGCGCTGGCCTGCCTCTGGCGCGCACGGGGCGTGGCAGGTGCTCGGGAAGGAAAGTTGCTGGGAGGTTCTCCGAAGGAAGGCAGGTGGGAGAAGGAAGGATCAGCAGCGAGCTGAGGTCAGGCCAGGTCTGGAGGTCGGGGAGAGGGGCTTCAGCCTGTACCTGCTTCGCCTTGGACACACTCCACACAACAAGGGGTGCTCACGCACATGCACACTCATGCTCACACCTCGCCTTGCGCCCGCCCGCCCCGCAGGCCGCGCACCAGGCAGCCCACAGCAGTTCCTTGGCTTGGCTCTGCAGCCTGACCCTCCCCTCTCACCGGCTCCGCTCTCTCCCCTGCCCCCACTGCGGTCCCCACCTACTGCGCTTGCCCTCTGGCCCAGCTCGGCCTGTGGACCAGACTCAGCACTGCCTTCTTGTCGGTGGCCTTGGCTCCCCGAGAGCAGCCGTAGGATTTCCCTGTCTGCACAGCCTGGGGCCTCAGGAATCCCTGGGGTCCAGCCCTGGGATCCCCCCTTGCTGCCATCTCACTATGGAAGGGCCTCAGCGGTGCCAGGTGTGCGGCCCTTCCCAGGTGAGCTGAGCCGGGTCCTCCCCCACCACGGCCCTGGGAGGGGACACCCTGCTCTTCACAGCGTGGTAGCTAAAGATGGGGTATCGAGGCAACAGGCCCGGGCCCCTGTCCCCTTAGGTCCCCTCTTCCACCAGCTCCTGGGCCCACTTCAAGGCAATGTCCACTGAGAGGCAGCGGCCTTCATCATCCTTCCCTTGTTGTTCCAGAAAGAGACTAAGGCATGAAGACAGCCTGCACTGGCCCTCAGGAGGACATCAGACCCACTGGCACCCAAGAGGAAACTTGCACAGAGGGTGGGGTATGGGTGTCCCTTCATCTTTCCATGTCCCACCCAGACATCACCTCCTCCCTGAAGCCTTCCCTGATACCTCTCACTACCCCGCCCCCCACCATCCCACCCCGCGAGTGGTTCATTGCCCCTGCTTTGCTCTGTCCAGCTCTGGCTCCAACTGACCCGGAGCTTGGTGCTAGCGTGAGTGTGAGATGCAAACTATCAATGAGCTGTCTCATCAGTTACCTCAGTGAGTGTCCCCTGAGGGCAGGACGCGGGCCCAGGAGCCCCTTCGCCTGTGCAGAGGCCTCTCCAGCCACCTTCGGCACCAGAAGGCATGCAGCTGTTTATGCTTTGGCCTTTCCAGCTGGACTGGGGTATGGGCGGACCCCGGGTCTAGACCAGCTTTGCTTTGCACAGTATGAGGTGTGGCACACAGCAGGTGCTTAGCAAAGGTCAATTCTACCCTTTTACTGGGGGCCAGTGGCGGGTCAGAGGCCCTCCGTTTTCACCTCAGGCTGGCCCCGGGTACCCGGGAGCACAGCGAGGGCCTCTGGCCACCCCCAGACAACCTTCGCACCTTCTGCCCAGCACCAAGGCCAGCGCCCCTCCCAAATGATGGATATACCATCTGGGGGCACCTCTGGCCCGCTCCCGGCTTCTAATCAAGATCAGATGCCTCCTGCTTCTACCTCTAATTGCCCCCAAATTAAAACAAATCGCCTGCAAA